GACTGAATACGTGGTGGTGGTAGTGGTAGTAGTAGTGGAAGTAGTAGTAGTAGTCGTCGTCCTGGTGGTGGTGGTGGTGGTGGTGGTGGTGGTGGTGGTGGTGGTGGTAGTGGTGGTAGTAGTGGTAGGAGGAGGCGGAGTATTGCTCTTATCATGTTTATTGTTGTTTGTAGTTGTATTTAGAGTTGTAGTTGCAGCGTGCAGGAAGTTCACAGCCGTCTACGCCTGCGAACCAGCATTCTCCCCAGTCTTGGGTCCGGGATGTGTTTCCTGTTCGGGACAGCTGCTGCTTCTACTGAGGGCTTGGCCCTGTCATCCTCGCATCTGCTATTGCATGAGGCATCGAGGCATGTTAGCAGAGTAGAGTGCTCCCTCTTTCGAGAAATTAGCCCAACTGAGTCCCACCTAGGCTCCCAGGGCAGACGCCGATGGCCATGTGCCCTTGTGCTGGAAGTGAAGCTCATTGCTCAAGGTCCGAAGGCTCCGAAAGGCTCTTTCGACACAAGTGCTGCCCACCTCGCGGGCCGGAAGAACCACGGCAAGTCCTGGAGCACTTCACAATTCAACAACCATGCTGCCACAACTTTGAAAGCCAGTGCACAGCTCTGCAGCTGTCTTTCAGGTACTCCCAGGAGACCGGTTCTGGGCCGGTCGAGGGGATGCACCGGCACGTCTTGCAGGGTCAGTAAGAGGTTTTTGGGCTCTTGATCTTGTGGTTCATCGAGTGCCAAGGAGTGTTTGAGGGTCCAGGACGGAAAAGGTGTTCCCGGTCACATCAAGTTTAGACTGGGAGTGGAATTGAGGCGGACTTCTGTAGGACCGGTATGCACGGTTCTAGAGCCCTTGATTGGGTGAACGCACATTTAGCCATTCGCATCATCTTGGGACTCCAGGCTTGGCCAGCCACCGCCACCTCCACCGTCGCACACCCCTCAGGCCGCAGATGTCGGGAGCTGCATACCGCCGGACCGCCAACTTTAGGATTTCAGCAATGTTTTGTGGCAATCTGCCGAACTTCCCAAATAAAGTCCCGAAGCCATGAATCGCGCAGGGTCGTTCTACACACATGATATGTTGGCACATACATTTTAATATGTGTATATATGTGTATGAGTGTATGTATATAACATGTATGTACATATATACATATATGCAAATATGTATGCATGTATGTATGTATGTATGTATGTATGCATGCATGTATGTATGTATGTATGTATGTATATAGATATATACATACATATGTGTATATATATACACACACGTAAGTACGGAAGTAATTAAGTAAGTAAGTATGTACGTATGTATGTCTGTGTGCATGTATGCATGCACGCACGCATATATGCAAGTATCTAAGTATGTAAGTACGTATGTATGTATGTATGTAAGTATGTATGTATGTACGCGTTTATGTTCCTGATTCCGTAGAGACGGGGCGCACATGCACACGACCGCGCACATGTATGTATACATGTATGTATGTCTGTATGTACGTACGTACGTATGTATGTATGTATGTATGTATGTATGTATGTATGTATGTATGTATGTACATATTTATGTACGTGTGTATGTACGTACGTATGTATGTATGTATGTATGTATGTATGCATGCATGCATGCATGCATGGATGGACGGATGGATGTATGTATGTATGTATGTATGTATGTATGTATGTATGTATGTATGCGTGTATGTTCCTGATTCCTGGGGCGAAAGCGCACACGACAGCGCACATGGTCCTAGCTAAGATTCGCATCCGGATCTGGATCGGGTCAGTATGGGCGGGGCTACCGTGATCAGCGCAGCCGTGATGATAATCGTAGTCGCGGTAGAATTGTGCTCTAGTGATCCACAACCCGTTCGAGACGCGTGCTGGCGAATGATGCGGAGAGTTCTCTGGTGCTGGACACTAGGACGATAGGCTCGCGAGCCCAACCTGTTCATGAAGCCTGCATCAAGGTTCCACATGTCGCTATTCCCGAACTATAACCGGATTGCAAGAAGGCCGTGTTGCTGTTCAGCATCGGCTCGCGAGACACCGATCAGATCTCGACGGGGCAACATCGACAGGGCCTATCTGGGAGCTTTGTCGGAACGACATGCGCTCACAGGAGTGCTTGCTCCCGCTTGTTCGCCTTCTTTGATCTTCGCTCCTTACAAAGTGGAAGGCGCTTGCCACCGAGCCCTATCCCGCCGAGCGGCCCGATGAAGACCAATCGTGTAATCTTCTCTGATGGGTCGGCTCCCAGCTCGAGCGCGGACGTCGTTCCGTCTGTTGAGATGCTTTCGCTCGTGATGAGGCTCCCTTGCAGCTTTCCTGGGAGGTTTGTTTCACCGGTGATCATGTCGGGTTGGTTCCCCAGGACAACACAGATCTGCAGTCGCAGCGAAAATTTCGTTCGGTTGCTCAGCGAGTGTTGGAACGGTATCGATCGGTAGGGGCTGATGTATGTATGTGCAAAAAAAAATATATATATATATATATATATATGGACCACCACCTAAGCATGTGTGTATATACACATGTGCGTATATATGTACGTATATATACATATATCTATGTATATGTGTACGTGTTGTGTTCCACAGGTAGATGCAATGTAAATACATGTATGCATACATACGTACAGATATACATACATACGTACGTACACATACGTACATACGTACATACGTACATACGTACATACATACATGCATACATGCATACATGCATACGCAGACAAGCGTTCGCAAGCCGACACACATGCAAGATAACTTGAACATTGCAGTCAATTTCTTCAACATTTACGCCGGACCCATCCGGCGATCTTTCATGTCGCCTTGCCAGATCATCTGCCTTTCAAAGTGTCCCAAGCTGCATCTAGTACTATCTATAGTGTTCATGCTTTTTGTCTTCCGACTTCTCAAAACTCTCGTCTCAATATGCGTTCAGTGTTTGAGCTAGGTTGGAAGCGTGCATCAGATCAAGAGGTCTGAACAACATATTTTGTCAAACCGGCATTGCAGCTTCCGTTTGCAGGTAGGTGGCCGTCAGCAGAGACAAATGGAGTCCACGACCAAGCCAGACCTTCTGAGAAACCCTTGTGTCAATTTCAAGCGGAGGGCAAGAAGGCGACGTTTTTGGGTGCCCACGGGTCCCCCATCCCGGTGCTGAGGTCGGCTGAGCTCTCGCGACCACCAGGCGACCGTGGACGCTTCCGGTGGAAGATTTCGCAAGAAGACTAGTCTACTACTGAAGTTTAGAGAGAAATTATCAGGCAGCTCTGACAAATTCTTGTAGTTCTATTGTTTACAGGAAAATCGTGCTTTTGGCCAGGGACATTTATCCCGGTCAGTCGCGCGCGGACCTGAAGGGTTCTTCTGTTTGCTTGCTGGTATCTCATGAGATCTTGAATGTGTTTGCGCTGCCGGGTGAGAGGCTGGAAAGCAAGTGAACTAGGTTTGGTCAGGCTTATCGCTTGTTCCCACGTGGAACAGCGGCAAGATCTCGGCTCGGAGACACGTGGGCCAGTGTTGAGCTGCAGTTGTAGGAGTGTTCCATTCGCATACACGTAGCGCGTTTCAAGCGTAAGCACGGGTTCCAGCTGCGGCATCTCTGTCCAGCAAGGTGTCTCTTCACAAACTTAGAGTTTGAGAGCTTGGGCTTTAGCATTGTGAGAAGGTTTCCCTTGCGACACTTTGCCATTCGTTCATGCGTCAGAGATTGCACCAGCAGACGCTGCTGCCAAGCTGCACTTGTTCAAGGGTTCGTGACCCGAAAAGCTGGAAACTCCGAGTGGCCGACCCGACTTACGGATCTGCTTTTGAGAAGGATGTTTCTTACCTTTTTCTTCCAGGCCAGAACCACGTTCAGGTGTGCAGCGGGGTCACGTTCGAAAGTGGAATAGCAACTGCTGTGAAACATGACTCAAACAAGACCATTCTCTGAGCCGAGGCAGCTTGGCTTGTGAGGCCATGGGACGAAAGCGTGGGGGTGCCCCTAGGCGGCTGAACCAGAGCCATCGTCAGTCACGAAGTAGCCAGAAGGCACCAGTGGCAATGAAACACACAACTAAGGATGGTGGTGGGGAGATGGAGATGCCCGGTGTAGCACCTTTTCTGCCAGCAGGAGCCATTCTATTGCAAAGGTATGAGCAGGAGGGTCTGAGTGTCGATGTGAAGGAGCCCTGGACCCTGCAGCACTCGGCTTTCCCATCCCCGGTCTTCCCGGAGCACCCCAAGCTCCTGGAGTGGTGCCCCCGAAGATTCCTGGAGCTGTGCCGGGCATCCCTGGTGCACCCGGAGTGCCTCCGGGCCCTCCCGGCCTCACCATGCCCGGGCTTTCGATGGGCGGCTGTGGCGGCTGCGGCTGCCTCGGCGGGCTGCAGATGCCTCCAGGCGCGAATTCCGCGAACGCTGCCCTTGAGGACTTATTGGTGAAAACGTCGGCGCCGCAATGAAGAGCAAGCCAACCCAGTTTGTATTCGGCAAATCTGCAACCTCACACGACGCGCCAGCATTGTCGAAGGGACGCCCCGAACACAGCTGTGGGCAAGGATCGGCTCGGTTTTGTGGACCTTGGATGGACCCGAAGCCGTTTGAAGCTCTGAAGTCTCAGAAGATAGCATCAGCTTTATGGCATCGCAGTTTGTCTTTCAAGGCCCGGCCTTGTCCGCAGGCCTACCGCCACCCTCGGGCCCAGGAGGGCTTGGTCTGCAGCTGCCACCAGGCCGGCACACGTACCACGAAGGAAGGGTCAATCTGAAACGTTCCGTTTGGCTGCCGGGACAGCGAAGTCTGGAAGTCTGGACTGGCCTTAAACCGCCTTGTGAGGTATCGGCCCTCCGCCAGCACTCCCGAAGCTGCCATTTCCTGGACTACCACCTCCTGGGTCGCTGGACTCCGAAGCCTTGGCTCAGATGCGGCGACTTGGAGGCAGACTTTCACTTTGCTGTCTTTGTCCACGAAGACTAATCTCAGTCAGTATCACACTGTACGTGCAATGACCATTCTTATTTGATAGAGAGTTTCTCTTAAAGCCTTCGTTGCGATTCTCTGCAGATACCTTGGCTCCGCTACTTCATAACGCCGTGAACCCGGTACGTGCAAAACACTAGCAAACTCAGGTTCCAGCAGGTGGCTACAGAGTACGAGCAGATCAAGAATGCCGGAATTGATCCTCAAGTGTCCGAGCTTGCAGAGTACCACGGCCTAGGCTGGACCGCTGCCCGGGCATGTGGGTCTGCCTGAAAGAGCCAGAACTCAAATCGCACTTGCCCGTAAGATGATCGTGCCACGCGCGCCCTCGATGAAGAAATGAAGAAGCGAAGAGCGACGCGTCCTTGCTGCATGTGTTCATGCCGCCACTCCTTAGTCACGCATAGTCCGCCCCTTCAGGTTTGAGTCTGACTTGCAAGCCCTCTGGGTGGGCTTGGAAGGGGCAAAGAACCCGTCAGGCATAGGGCTCAGCTGTTGACAGAGCAGAGAGGCTTGCAAGAGATTGAACTTTGTACTGTTGCCTGTTTCCGCCTGTGGATGCAAGCAGAATTCTTAATGCGAGAGCCCTGCAGGAATGCTCATGATGAAGCTGAAAGATATGCGCATGGGAACCTTCAAGGGTATGACAGCCTTGGACAAGCAGGAGCGGCTCCTCAGGTGTCGTAGACGCCTTTTGGCTGTAGTGGCTCTGCCCTGCCATGTCTTGCCCCCGTCAGATCCACGACTTTGCGAAGCGGAATCGCTTAGATGCTCAAGCAGCAGTGAAGCTGGCGGAGGTGGGGCCGGGAGGACATGGAGAGGTTCTTGAGCACATTTGAGAACATATCAACTCTTCTGAGTCTTGGTACGGGCAACTGAAACCGAGGTCACAAAGTCGCACTGAGACATACTGAGACGTGATGTTGCGTTCAGTAATGGAAAGGCTGCCATTGCGACATCGATCAGGAAAGGCCTGAAAGGATACAACAGGCTGGGGATGTATTGCTTTAGTAGGGAGATGTGGTGCCCTTAGCACCACAATAAGGCAAGGTGGTAAGGCTCCCCCCCCCCGGGCGGGCAAAGCCCACTGGGTCACAGCCACGTCCGAGGCTGCTCTCAGAGCGAACAGGGCCATGCCAGGCGACCAAAGCCGGAACTCCTCGACCTGGAGAGCACCTCCCAAAGGGCAGGAGAAAAGCTCCCCCCCCATGTGTGTTGCGAAGGTTCTCCACAACCGCGACGACATTGAGGCCGACTTGAGCAAAATCCAGAAGCCGGAGTCCCAGCCGTTCCCGAGACTCCAAGGAAGAGAGGTCCAACTCACAGAGCCAAGAGCAAAACATGTGTCTAATGTCTATCGGATCCGCATATCAAAAGAAGCAGGTCAGGATAAGTCATTTTTTGAGGGGTTGGCCTCCATGACAGAAGTTCCAATCTTGAAACCGCACCGAGCCGGGTACAAGCTCAGCCAAGCCTTTCCTTCAAGCGCATCTTCCTCTTTGTCAAGCGATGTGCCTGGAATGGGGTGATGCATTGCACATCTCGTGGCCGCTGCAATGAGCCGAATCTAGCAGACTCCGAGCCCACTTCAACTCAAGCATCCGCACTTTGCAACACCAGTCAGATACAAGATGCGTCCAGTCCTGATCCACTGCAGTGATGTCGAGCTATGTACAATCTGCTCATACCATATACCAGTTGCTTCGCTGGCGAAATGTCCTCACATGAACAGTGCTACGTCTGTTAAGCTTGTTGACAAGCTCAAGACTCAAGGCACCTCGAGCGCTCCAACAAGCCCTCCTCCCTGGTCATGATGATGCTCAGAGACCTTCGCGAGGGGAAGCCTATCAAGGAGCTGCAAGAGGGCCGAAGGGTTGAAAGCCAGGGCCTGCTTTCTTGCAGGAGCCTGGGTATGCGCCAGCGATTGGCAGCAAGGCACCGGCGACAAAGAGGGGCAGGGTTTTGGCAAGCTAGCCGACACGCGAGGAAAACATCAGCTACTTGGCCATCGGCAGTCAACTCCTATCATGCTCGCTTACTGTAGGCGTGTGTATGAGACTGTTGATCCTGTGAGACAGCCTAGCGGCCTAGCGCCGAGTGTTCACCTCGGGTATCCAAAGCATGACATGCAGCCACCAGTCCTTGGTGGTTGCAGCAGCAGCTGACACGCTCAACAACAATAAATGTATGTATGTATGTATGTTTGTTTGTTTGTATGTATGCATGTATGTATGTATGTGTATGTATGTACGTACGTACGTACGTACGTACGTACGTACGTACGCGTGTGTGTGTTTGTACTTGGAGGTTCAGGGGCAGTTATAAGTAGGGTTATAACTCCGCATATAACTACCCATGAACCTCCAAGTATATATATATATATATGTGCACGTACGTACACATGCACATACACATACACATACACCCTCCGGGTTCGTGTTGGGGATTCTTCCTTGCTGGTTTGTGTCGAGGACCCCGGAGGCGGGAACACATACATATATAAATAAAGAAGGGACTGTCCTGGGGCCTGTAAATACCATTACATATACATACACACACACACATTTACGTATGCACACACAGATATGTAATAAAACGTTGTTTTGCATGTAGCCGTTACAAGATAATGAGTTCAATTCTATAATGTCCCACTCTACCAGCATGGAGTGGAAGTCAAAAGTCCAACCATCTTTCCAGAATGTTTGCTGGAGCCCTGTGCATTCAAGGCACAGGAATTTTTCGTTATGTATGATGTTTCATTCGCAACAAACATTTGCGGCGATCATGAGTACATGTCGCAACAGGAAGCATACGTGCTTGAAGCTTCTACTTGTACTCCAGTTGCCAGGGAGAAGAAACAAGATGACACAGTCTACACAACAGAATTCAGCATGCAAGAAGTCTTGACAGAGCAAAACGAAGAGACAGAGGAATAGCAAGTGTCTCGTTTGCCAACCTCAGCAAGGTAGATGTACCAGATTTAAGACATCTTTATGAAAGTGTTTCGGTTACACATACCACAGAAATGAAGATGGCCTTAGCTGCATGCCCTCGATGTTCACAATTGAGCCTGAACAGTGAAAAATGGTCTGGAGCTTTTAGATTGTTCAGGGTGTGATTGTTTCAGGTAGGGGGGGCAGGGTTCGGAGATCTGCATCAACGCGCTCAAGCTGTGAGTACGCGGTTGACAATTAAAGAGACAAGATCTGCAAGCTTCAAGGTCAGAGCCGCTACAGCTGTCGACGGCAGTGTTGGATGGTGCTTTCTTGATTTGCGACAGGTGCATGAAAAAGAGCTGAAGGCATCCATGAAGGAGCGGCAAGCACCTTGTAGCCGTTGATCACAGACAGTTCTTTGATCGATGGTCCGCCCGCATGTTGACGAGTGGCTTGAGCAGAGTCGAGGAAGAGTTACAGGCTGCGCCACAGACCGGCCCAACTGGTTGTGCCTGCAAAAAGAGAGGATGCCAGCTCTGGGATTCACGGCAGGAGCGACAACGAAGCCGAAGCCGTCAGCGCGGCGGGCGAGATGAAGCTCGAGGAGGTCGTCATGACAGGCACGCAGAGTTCTTGGAAGGATACAAGGGTCCATGTGTTGCATCGTGAACTGCAGGATTCTTCTCCTCCCTTCCTCGTTGCAAATATCAAGTCAGGTTAGAGGGATCCTTGCAAACAACCAGAAGCCTGGAGGGACCGTGACCGAGACCGAGATCGCGACAGCTGCATGGCCGCCATTGCATCCTGAAGTCTTCGTAATACATGAGATGGCTGTCGGTGTACAGAGGTCTAGAGCCTGCCTGATTCTTGTGGCTAGCATTTGGATAGTCCGGTGGACTACCCGCAGCAAGCTGCAGTCGGCCACAGTGTCGGCCATCAGCAGCCCGTAAGGAGATCGGGATCGCGACAAAGGAGATCGGGACCGCGACAGGCGAGATCGCGATCGAGTACCCCAGCCGAGAAAAGCTGGCTTGTACGTGCTTGCACATGAGTTCTGTTCTAATGACTTGAGAAGGAAGGCACTAGAGATGTAACTGAGGACAGAGACCGGGAGCGGGAGCATGAGAAGTGAGGAATCTTGGCTGCAAAGGCGATGAGGAGCAAAGTGCATCTCGCACGTCGCACGAGCCCATGACGGGGCTAAGGAGAGCTCACAGCTCACTCTCGAACCGCAGGCTTTTGAGGACTTCAGGCCTTTCTACACGTCAGCCTGCAAAGGTTGGATTTGCAGGGCGTTCAAGGCAATGATGAGTCTTCGTCTGTGTTTCAGAAGTGTTCTTGTTCTTTGACAGGATCGAAGGTCATGATGCCCTCGCACTGATACCTCCTGAGTCTGGCAGGGTAGAAGGATCAATGCCACATTGCTGAATGTGTCACCCACGCCTTACTGGGGGTGGCCATCAGGCTGCAAATGATCGTAGAGTTCCGTGCCGCAGTCGCCATCGGTCGCCCACGCGGCACAGTGTTTCCATGACTGGCGCAGAGTTGGGCAGGTGAACGGCCAGCAAAATGCGTGTGTCAGAGGTGATGGCAGTCCCGTCTGTCTCATGAAGCAGCGAAGATGTTTCTGCAAGGTTACTGCGTAACTTCTGCTTCCAATCTGCGATCTGAGGCTGGCATGGCCGCCCATGGGTCTGAGGCCGCAGGCGAGTCAAAGTGATTGCAAAAATTCGTACGTGCTACAGTCTCTTTCCCTTCGGAATCCTTCGTGGAAGCTTGGGAGTGGTGCGTGTCAGGTGCTTGCAACACGCCTCCATCTGCATCGGGCATGGCACACAACCCACGAGAGCAGCTGCAGCTGGGTGGTAACATCAAGTAAGGCGCAGACTCCCATAGGCTCAATGCGCCGATGGTAACTTTTGGTGGGTGAGTCTCAGTATGTCTCAGTTGCCGCACCAAAGGCAATGGCAGCTGCAGCATGCGATGCACCCAGCTGCAATCCGCTGAGCTTTCCCGCGTAGCCACATCAGAAAGCTAGGTTCCCGACGAGCATCCCCCTGCCACCGAGGAGGCGCAGGGGTCCCCTGCCGCCAGCAGCTCTGCATCGCCGACCGGCGATCAATATCGGGAGCAGGCTGTGGAGTTTCCCTTGAGCATCTGGCACGGAAGGGCCACGTCATGGCTTCAAGCCAGGGGTTGAACATGCAAGAGCGATGAATGGAATCAGTGCTCGTTCGACAACTGCAAGATTCAAGACGAGAGAGATCGCGATGAGGCTCATTGTGTAGATTACTGTATCAGCTGAAGCCCATGTATTTGCAGAGAGGCTGTGATTTCAGGTGTTGCATACATCAGACCATTCCGGATTCAATTGCTCAGCACGTTCCTCCGAAATGATCGCCTCAGTTGTGATCTCTTTGCGACCTTGCTACTGCTTTACAAGTACATACATCTAGCTCGGGGCTTTGATAGGTGCGGCAGCAGCTGCGGGAGCAGCTGCAAAAGGAAGCGCAGCACAACCAGGCAACCTGATGGAAGTGTGTTTTGCTGTACCCCCCAACGAGAGACTCCCGAGAGACGTGTTGCATCGGGTGCTCGAGCTGTGGCCTGCCTCCTTGAAGCAATTTGGCCCGCGACTTTTGAATCCGGGCTGTTTTCTGCAAGAGCTTTGCAACATCATTGTTTAAGTTATTATGACGTGAATGTACTGCATGCGAACCTCAACGGAGCCTGTCGGAAGCCCCACATCTGTCGCTTTAAGGCTTTCGCTAGACAAGCGGTAGGGCAGTGTTACGGCAGCAGGGAAAATGCTTGACATCAATTGGCAGGACTCGACAGACATCCGGAGCTTGCAGCACAATCCACGTGAACAGTTGCTTGGTCTGGTCGAGCGATTTTCGTTCTAAGGACTGCCGTTTTCACAGTTCGTGGCTGTGATTGTAGCCATAACTCCTTGAATTTCTTCGTTCCTGGTAGACAGCTGTTGCCGTGCAGTTGGCCACTTGCAGGGCAGGTATATTTCGCACTAGTCTGATTCGAGTCACTGTCATTGTGCTTCCAAGTTAGTACCTGTGTCAGAAGCCTCCACTTCTGAAACGTCCGAAACGGAGTGCTCCTGTGGGCAGCGGTGTGCATCTCGCTGTCTGAGCTTGGATGTAAACTGGAAGAGAATCCAGATACTTGGAAAGCCATACTTATAGGACTTTGCCGGATCAGAGCCCTTTGAGGGCCCCTTTTGCCCAAGCCCTGCTCAAGTCCATACGGCCGAGGGTGAAGCAGCAGCTGCAACTCAAGGAGCCTGTGGCTTGGATCCTCGCGAAACATGCAATCGGATTGACATTGTCGCTTTCTTGCATACTTCGTGACATGTCTATGACTATGACTGCGTCGCCCTTCAGGCTAGAGCGCCAGCATCTAGACGAGCATTTGCAGATGCTGGCCCCCAAGTGCACGGAGGGATGGGAACATGTGATAAGTGGGCCAATCTACGAAGATTTGACCAAGCAGGTTGATGTGTAAACGATTCGGCTGTCGTGCAGAGAGAGAAAGAGTCTGTCCTCTGCAAGACCAAGCTCGTTCAGCTGGAAACCGATGGCTAGACCTCAGGCACCTGTCACATGTGACTATTTTCGAAAGTGTTAATGCCCGTCCGCTGCTTGCGTAGGCTCGTCATCCCTACAACCTCCGTGTCCGACATGTCGAAACGCCTTGTCGAAGCAAGACAACCCCCGCTCGGATTCGCAATGCAGTTGCTTGCTTCGTTTGTGCACAGGATTTGCTATGCAGATGTTTAATCGGGGTATGGGATATCGACATCGAAAGCGCATTGACCGACAAGTAGCTGTCATGCCGAGCGGGTTCGTGTGGTTACACCTCAGCATTGAAAAGAAAATGGTTTTGGAGAGTACAAGTCTTGTTGGCAGCGCACTTAGAGGCTCAGGTGCTGATCCAAATACCCGTGCCCTTTTTTGCTGCTGACAGGATTCTTTGCTAGCATCTACTTCATGTTGTTAAGGGTATTCTGCTGGCTACCATTTCCTACTCTTGTTGCTGCTCGCCAGCTCCCAAGCAGGCTTCCTGCCACGGCAGTGGCTGCAGCTGCAGCAGTAGTGGTAGCTACCATGCAACTGCGGACGGCTAACTACCAATTGCAAACTGAGAATTTGTTATGGTTCACACCACGCTACATAACATCTCCTGTCCTGCTCATACAAACCACCGCGTGAAGACCCGCATTTTGGAACAGGCATGTTGCTTGAACTTAGTGTGCTGTCACATTGTATTGGCAAGGTCAGCACCTTGGCAAGCGGCACAGGCCCCCGGCTGAATCGATGTCACGTTCATGCGACCTGAGTTTGCGCAATGATTGTACGGTTCTCCGAGTTCTCTCCGGTTCGGAACCTGCCACACTCGCGATCTTTCAGGCGCAGTTTCCCTCCTGGGATCGCTATGGGCAGCCGCAGGCATCGAAAGCCCGCAATCTGCTGTTTCGTAGAGCGATCGGGAATCGGGAACGGAAGAGCTGTGAACCGTGGGAAGGCTGACCCGATGGCGATGCAAGCTGACGGCAGCTATATGTTGCAAGTTCCCCAGCATTTGTTTCTCTGTGTTCCGGTACTTGCAAGCATGTCATCAGTCTTGACGGATAGCGGTGTACTGGGACCACCAGTAAATATTGCTCCGGACCCACCGCAGCCTGCCATTTGAGGGTGCTCGTTGCAGGCCACAGACTTCGGCAAGCATGTGAGGAAGGATTTGACGCCTTCAGCTGCTCCAGCCTCGTCGTACCCCACCCCGTCTCATCAAGCACACCACCACAACCATCGACGTTGTCGCCGCTACTACGGCGGCAGCCGTCGTCCTCGTCGGCCCTGTGAGCGGGCACGCACTGACCCGTGCACAGGGAACGAAGGGGCGAGGGTGCCGAATCAGATCTGGCATGGCTCAGGCTGCAACAGGAGGAGTACTTGGTCCAGCAGGCGCATTACCACCTGGGGTTGGTTTCCCTGCAGTTCGTGAAAGATAAAGCTGTCGGTGTTACTTCGCATTGAACTGTGTGAGTGGGCAGGACTGGACAATTTGGGATTTCAGAGGGTCACGATTCGTTAGAAAAAACTACATCGTGTTTAGTGCAAGAGTTTGAATAGAGAACATGCGTTGGCTAGACCAGCGCCACAGCAGTAGAGACATGCATGAGCAACTGTCTGGACGAGACGATACCTTCATTGTCAAGGCTCAAGCATCGGTGGATCGAGCGACTGTGTAGAAGTGACGATGCGCGTCTGACAAGTTTTACACAGATCCCGCTGTCAGACTCACGGACTTTCTTCTGACCCCTTCGGACCTTAGAGCCGGCCTCCTTTCAAGCGCAGGTCCAGCACCAGCAGCGTCGCTTGGCCATTCCCAGACTCAACATTCGGGGCCCTTGAATTGAGGATATGAAGCGATTCTGACGCGCCCCGATCGTAGCCGCCCAGCAATCTTTGAGAGTTAGACCCTAGCACCAGGTCAGTTGCAGCACAAGCTTCAACCGCCTCCTCCTTCACAACTGCCGTTCCTTTGCTGCAAGCGCTGTAGCTAGCATGAAGACCCAGGAGGATACTTTTGAGTGCAAGTGGCCTGAAGTCGCTCTACCTTCCTCCGTTTCAGGAGAAATGCTGCTAGATTACAAGATTGGTGTTGTGCAGCTTCTGCTGTCCGTTCATGTGTCGCTGCCCGGCGAAAGACTTGGAGCTTGATCTACTTAGACAAGGATGCTGTGTCGCTGGGATTGAGCAGCTTCAGAGATCATATCAATACAACCCTCGTTAATCGACAAAGCCCATAAGCAAGTGTCTGACTGTCTCACTTCTCTCCGAGCGCCGCTTCGTACTTTAGCTGGGTAGCTTAGTCCTAACATGAATGATGCGACTTGCAGAACCGGGGGGAGGAGGCGACCCAACTCCAATCGTCCTCTTGTGAAAGGCATGTTTGCTGTCGTGGCGAAGCTTTTGAGAGACGCCACGGGATGCAATCAAATTAAGAGTGCGGCTTCCAGGCAGCTGCCCATGCTCCCGCAGCCGGCGCCTTACCTTTCGACGGTGAGGCCTTTGCTACCACAGGGAAGAGAATCATCTTTGGCTGAGCAATGCGTTGAGCGGTTGACGGATTCTCGGCAAGGGCATCAGGGGTGGTGAATGCCTAGATATGCCTGGCAACTTCACGACATCTGTGGACAATAGCTGCAAACCTCGAATGCGTCGAGGCCAAGCCTTAAAACCCAGCACTTCTCATATCCTCCGAGGGGCTCTCAGCTGCCGCCTCCCCCATCGCACAACGCGGCATTGCTGCGGCCTCAATGAGTCCAATATCAGCGCATCGGAGTGGAATCCTTGTCTAAGAGCGGCGAGCCAAGGGGCTGAGGCGAGCTGGCTGCAGGCATCATTCGGCTTTTGTCCGTGGAGTTCGTATAGATCAAGTTCTTGCACTCTGGGGCCTAGCTGGGGGGAGGTACTCTTCCTGCTTTGTGGCTTCTGCAGTTTGTGCATCAAGTGGGCCTGACATTCGATGCGAACGGAGACTGATCGCAGGAGCGAGTTCGAAGGCTTCCTGAGACCTGATGACAGATGTGCAAAGTTTGCCAATATGGTTTGCGATGACACATCTTGTGCACTCTGCGCATGGCCTTCCTCGCAGAAGCAAGATCTGCTTTCCCGAATGCCCATGAGGATTCGTTCGTCGTTCCCAAAGTATCGGTATCTACAACTTCGCCTTGTCGTTATACAGCCGACAAACGCACACACACACACACAAGCACAGCTCGGATGATATAAGTGGGAACGAGCAGCCACGGACTCGTGTCCTTCGCCGAAGTTCTCTCGTTTAAAGTGTTCGATGCCTCCATCAAATGGGGGTAGAAGCGATCTCTCCACATCTTGCCCAAGCGCTTTGTCTGCTTACCTCCTGTACGACACTGTACGCTGCATCTCTAGGACTTCTTGCTGTAGGGCTCGAATTGCCTGTAACTTATTGCCCCCATGTGCCAGTGTGTTTACCAGAAAAACTGGAAAATTTGAGGCAAGATCGATTATCCAGAATGGATGCCGAGCCCGTCAACCGCCACATTGATTGAAAAAGTTGCCCATGCTGCAAGCTGACTCCCTCGCGACTAAAATTCCTCTTTTCCCTTATGAGCTGGCGTAGTGGGACCAGTGTAGCAGTGTAGCAATATCGGAGATGTAACTTGTCAAGCTTGTTCTGTTCGGCCAGACTCCTGCTCGTCGAGTCAGACAATTCTGAAGATGTCGCTGAAAGTTATTCTGGTCGAGACTGACTATGCCAGGGTAGTGCAGCACCCGTGTTTGACGGCTCTTTCCAATTTGCGCTTGTGCTCCCAGCAGCTGCCCAGATTGTCTTCGATTCGCTTGAGCCACAGTCTAGGCAAGAGAAAGTCTTTGAAGCCATGTCTTCACATGCCCACATGCCTCACGGCGCGGCCAGGCCGGCAGGTTGAAGATGGGTGAAGCAATTAGAACTCCTAACTTGATAGCTTCGCGGACACGCAGTTTCAGCGTTCATGGCGAAGCCCGATGTTGTGGCCGGCTCTGGCTCAAGGGCTCACGGGTACCCCCTTGGCCGCCATGGCCATGTCATGGCCCAGATAAGTCGGATACAGACAGGACATGTGGACCGACTAAAGCACTGCAGCAGAATGCTTCTATCATCTTCCATCTCAGCTACCATGAAATCAAGAGAGGGAGCCATCGTGAGACTGCTAGGGTTCTGGAATGCAGGTGCCTTAGCTCGTATTCCTGCAGCGCAGCATCGAAAAACCGAGTCTACGCTTTCCTTTGAGTCGGCAGCCCGATTGTCTACAGAGTCCGTGGCTCCTTTTGGGGGCCGGGTCGCGCCATGGGGCGGAAGCGTGGTCCAGGGGATGCTTGGCTAAACGAAGTTTAAGTTGAAGTGGTGCCGATGCAGACCAAGCTGTTCTTCCAAACCGCAAGCTCCTGAAAACAGTAGTGGCCTAGATTCTAATGGGCTTCAGGCTTTAAGGGTATGTGATCCAGCACACATAGGTTCGCGGGACTGTTGCTTATTCGGGGTCCTAGGCAGCCGAATCCATGACAGGAAGGAGCTGGGGAGCTCGATGCGGGCCTGGGCCTGGTACCCACACCAGGACGTGGGAAAGCGACGCTGCGACGCTGCGACTGTGCGCTGTTGCTGTGGCTGTGCAGGAGCTATAGATCCTGCAGCTTTCCCTTTTCCGGGCTTGCCTGCCGGCCTTCCGCCACCGACGCCTGCAGTTCCAGTGGCAAACCCTGCCGCAGGACTCCCAACTCTGCCCCCAGGCGTGGGGCCCACAGTCGTCCCACCAAAAGGTCCTGGCTTTCCTCCCGCTGGGCTCCTTCCACCGGGGTTGGCAGTGCCGGGTCCGCCTGGCCTTGCCATGCCTACCCTGGGCGCCTTGCAGCAGATTTTGCCAGGCCCGCGGGAGCGAGAGAGAGAGAGAGAGCGAGAGCGAGAGAGTCCAGGGTGAGGGGCGCTGTCCCCTCTCCCTCAACCCTTGAGAAAGAAAGAGTCCTGAGCTGAGCTACGCTCGTTCTTCACTCCCCGTTCCCGACAACGATCGGGTGGGCTCGAAGCCCGGGGGCTTTGACCGGCCCTCATGCGCGGGAGAGAGAGAGAGTCCTAGAGAGAGAGCGAGAACGCCTAAGCACCCTGCTTCTGTTCGCTCCGCACCAACAGGGGTGCGCGACAGCGCAAGGGGGGGTGGGGGAACCTCCCCCTCAAGTGCACGTTTCAGCTTGCAGCTTCGAGCCGACTCTTTTCTTTGGCTTGAGAGCTCACAGTGCCAGGCGTGGCTCCTCCACAGCCGGGGCTGCCACCCTGCCTCGGTGGTGCGAAGATGCCCCCGCCTGCGCCGGGGCTGGGCCTAGGCCAGGGCAATAAGGCCTTGCACTCTAAGTTCTAAGTCTCTAAGTTGTAGGACCCAGGACAGCAGCACTTGGCGAGCATCGACAGAGTGGACGCATGACAACTTCCAGCGCGCTAGTGACGGCGCGAGTGCTTCTCCGACCCTTCAAGCTGCAATGATCACCGCGGCTTCTGAGAAGCTTGTGTATCACAGCAGCCCGAGATCAGTTTGCGGGCCACAACACCAAACTCTTTGGTCCTTGTTTCTTGCCAACTCTCGTCCCTGCAAGGCGGCTTGCCGGTGCTTCCAGGCATGGCACCTCCCCCGGCGATGCCGCCGCCGGGCTCTCTGGACACAGAAGCGCTGGCGCAGCTCAGGCCACTTCCTTCAGGTAAAGATAAAAAGTCTCCTTTGGCCATTAACATGCGTAGAAAGGCTTCCTCTTTCGGTGTTGCTGTCGCTGTTTGTTGCGATGCAGCACTCTTTAGTCTATGATTTGACTTCACCTGTGACGTGCAGGTTTCAGCAGGTGGCCTCTGAGTACGAGCAAATCAAGAGCGCCGGCATTGACCCGCAAGTGGCCGAGCTTGCGGAGTACCATGGTCTAGGCCGATCCTTTTTCCAGGGCGCGTTTGTAAAGTGGAGGGTTCCGGGCTTCCACATAACCAGATGCGACCTGCCATTCCCTTGCAGATGAGCGGGTGACGCGCTTGCTCGATGAGGAGATGAAGAAGCGAAAAGACACGCCGCACGGCAGAACCCGGCCATGGAAAGATCATTGCACTTGATCACAAGTGAGGGCTCGCGGTACTCGGATTATGATGCCTTCTTGCCGTGGCCAAGGTTTGAGTCGGACATGCAAGCTCTTTGGGTGGGCTTGGAAAGGGCAAAGAACCCTGCAGGAGCCTACAGCACGCTCACATGTTTTGCCGCTTCCGCTTCTGGTCCTGGCATTTCTGGAAGGAATGCTGATGATGAAGCTCAAGGATATGAAAGCGGGTACTTTCAAAGGCATGTCGGCACTGGACAAGAAGGCTACTCCGACAACCAAGCCGGATTACGATACGTGCTCTTCTACTCAGCTTCTTTCGCAAACCTTACAGTTGGCTTAGAACTTGTTGCTAGATGTTGCCGGTGGTACTTCAGGGCTTGCGAAAAACCATGTAGGTGACAACCACGGCACAGTGGTCTGGCATGGTAGTACATGGTAGTTATATAGTCGAGGCTCGTCTTGTTTCGTCACCATGAACCGTAAAGAACGCGCCTGCCACACCCCAGCCTGCGCCCGCAGATTGAAGACTTCGCCAAGCGCAATCGCTTGGATGCCCAGGCGGCTGTGAGGCTGGCTGAGGCTGGCCCTGGTAGGATCTCGTTCGATCTGTGGTCCTTAAGCAACTCGGCCAACCTAGAGCTCTGGAGCTATGCAGAGCCGATCAACGTTTTCCGCTCGCGAGACCAAGAAGCAAAACACAACGTCAGGGCAACACAGGCCATGCTCCACAAGTTTCATGCCGCGTGCTTTGCTTTGGTCAGCTTCTGCATCTGCAACGGACCACTCCGTGCAGAAAGTACGGGTCTGAGAAGCCTCTAGCATGCTCTAGCAAAACACTCGGTCAATCTCGGGTTGGATTGTTAGAGCATCCCGAGACTTCGCCGGCTTCGCGGTCTCCTTTTGGCCTCCACAAAGTCGGAACACCAAACTATGTAGTGGACAAGGTCGCCATTTGGTCTTTTTCAGTTCCATTGTTTTTTCCATTCGACGCTGTCGGCAATCGGAACAGCCTTTGTCAGGACTTGTTCGAACCGTTTTTTTCGTAGCGATTGATATGCCAATCGTGATCTGTCTGCCGTCAGGACTTGAAAAACCTTCATGCAGTCCCAGCTAAAGTTCAATTCTTCTGCCGCCCGTGCGCCTAGCCGCGCCTGCGTAGCCTAAAAGTCGTCTACACGCAACCTCGGCCAACCTGAACTGCTATTCGAAAATTTGTGTCTCTTCTCCGATTCCTCGTGGAATTGGTACACAGATTCACCCACAGGACAGCCAGACGGACAGTCGAGAGTCGAGAGTTCCCGAGTGGAGGTTCTGCAAAATCGAGACGACGTGGATGGCGATTTGGCCAAGCTCCAGAAGCCGTGCCCTCAAGGCCTGTGCGACAGGCCAAGGTGTAGAAGGAAGCTCATCCCCTTTGGAAACATCCGCTCGAAGGGTAGTGCTAAGGCACCTGGAGCGATCCAACAAACCTTCCTCCCTGGTCATGATGATGCTTCTCGGCCTCTGCCATCAGCTTCTGGAAGGGATTCTTGTCAGGCCTGCGGAGGTAAAGCCGGTAAAACTTCTTCGCACAGTTCAAAGGTCGGTAGTGCACTAAGGCCAGTTTCGTGTCCACAAGGCATTAAGATTGAGGCATGCTGTCAGAACTGTAGTACCACACTCATCGCGTCCCAGCTTCGGCACGACTCCGGGAGTGCTTTAGAGCAGAAGTAGCAACATCATTCCCAAGTTGGCAAAGATGCAGCTAAGGCTTCGGGACCTCCGGGAAGGCAAACCCGTCAAGGACGCTGGACCAAATGAGGCTTAAGGCTGAAGCGCCAGTCAACCTACTACTTGTGGCTTTCACAAATCTGGTCTTTGACAAAGGCATTGGTGCAGATGCTTCGTAGAGTGACCAAGACCGGCATGCTAAGCACACATATGAACGCCCACAGAGTGGCGAAGCATGCTTTTCAGGCTCAAAGGTCTGCCTCAGACAAGAAAAAAGCAATGGTTCTGGTTTGTTACAAACTCTCCACGAACTCAACAACATTTTTCTGGCACCGCTCCACGCATATCTCCGTGTTCGAGGGTGGCACTCGAATGGTTGGTTGACTCGTCCTGCATGCTTTGTTTGCACGTGCTGCGACCGATACCAGCGTCTACCGTTGCCATGTGTCTGAACACTGAAAACACCTAGCACCTGTGGCTTCAGTAGACCAAAAGGATCGCGCAAGCTGCGTTGATTGCGGGAGCCGGTTGGTCTTGAGCTACGAAGGAACCTTCACGGGAAAGGCCTAGCTTCTTTTCATTTCTTTTCCACGTCGTGCCTTCGCAGGATCCGGAGTATGCGCCTGCTATTGGCAGCAAGGCGCACGAAGTCACTAAGCGCATTCTGTGTCGACTCGGTTTTGCATTGCATCGAACCCCAGTTTCAACTCGCCATGCTGTTATGCGCTGCACGACGTAGTTTGCTGACAGTTGCAGTAGGATGTCTCGTCGCGTGACGAGACTTCTTCCGTACTTAATAGTTGATAAATCTGACATTCTTGCAGACGGTTGACTCCAGCCGTGTTTTGACTGTGCCCGTGTTGTGGTGGCAGAAGACATTGCCGCAGCTGAAGCTTCTCCAACTACTTGTGTCGTCGCCACACGAACGTCGTTCATCTGTCGCTTCGGCGGGCTTTGTCACTTGTCGAATCAAACCTAGGCCGGCAATATGTGTCTTCGTGAGCAACCTGCAACTGGAATGTATGCCGGCATGCAGTGCACCGGAGTCTCTAAGCCAAGCTATGTGCAGGGGATCTGGGTCGCGCTGCTGTCACCTTGCAGGTGCATGCGAGAGAACTGCGGGACTCCAAGAAGGACCGGACCGTGCGTGCAACAGATGTGTGCCGCTGTCCGAGAATCTTCTCCAAAGGGTTGAGTGCTGAACGATTTCGATCAAGATGCGCGTGCGTGCAAAAATAGCGCATCACGACGAATTCGACAGTCGCCGAGCCCAGCTTTGCCAGGAGAGGGACCGAAGTCGCAGCCGGCAGAGAGGAGGCCGAGACGAAGCCAGAGGCGGCCGCCATGACAGGCCAGGGAAGTTCAGCGTTCTGCAGTCGTCTGATTCGGGTCGATTGATAGTTCGGTTCTGTAGACGGGCAAAACCCATGGTGCCCAGATACGGATTTATGGGTATTGCCCGCCTTGTCCACGTGAGACACCGTGAGAATTGCTGAATCCAAAATTGGCCTCACAGAGTTGCTTGCAACCCCAGCCACCGTCTGCACACTCAAGTAAAACACCATGGGACACCAGTCCTGAAACGTGATGTTATCTTTGTCATTTCCCAGCTTGAGTCCAGAAGTTGAAGCCTGTGATAGTGACAGTCATAAACCTTTTCGTTCCGTAGCCACAGCCCATCACTTTGACGTGCATGTCATTTGCCCTGCTGTCGCAACTTGGTGCCTGGCCCCTCTCCTGGGTCGGAAAGGGTGAAAGCTGGCGGAGAATGGGGTAGCCCAAGCAGTAGAGAGGGGAAGTGGAACAGTGTAGAGAGGTTTGGGCATTGAATTCTGCGGATCGCCCTGCCAGACTTAAAGGGCCGTAGGACGCAAGTGCCTTTGCCTAAGCCCTCAGCCCCTGGCCCCCAGCCACCAACGAAAGCTTTAAATTCTTTGTCCGAAGAAATAGCAAGCGCGACGAGTCTCCTACGTGCAGGGGGGATCGAGGCAGAGACCGTGACCGTGACCGTGGCTTGGATGAAGTCGGAACTGACTGCTGTCTGCGGAGTCTCCGAGCGTAGGCACCGTTGTGGAGTGGGATAGCAGTGGACTTGCTTGAAGCTGGAAGACCCATTAAGGAGATCGGGATCGAGATCGTGACCGGCGGGATCGTGACCGTGTGGCCGGGCCCAGGTTTGAGCGGTGAGGCGAAAGAGGCGAAAGCTCAGAGAGCTCGGCCACGGGCGACTAAGGACAGGGATCGCGAACGTGAACGGACATGAACGGCCTCGCCTCCAAGGTGTGGAGTGAGGCTCGCCTGAGGCCTGAGGCCTCGAGAAGCGCAGACTGGGCTGAGCCCACCGCCAGCAACAGCGAAGCCATCAGCCGAGCCATCAGCGAAGACATGTCAAGAAGTCGCAAAAGCCACATGCTGTTTCGGTTGCAGTGGAGGTAGTTGGGTGGGCCGAATCGTATCGCCGGTGCAAAAATCCGTGAGCGCGCATGTGTCTTCCGGGAGCTTCTGCAGATCGAAGTGTTGCAGACGCTTGTCACCGCTTGTCGGGCAGAGCATAGCGCTCAACAGATGTGGCCTGTCGGGCTTGCATTCCGTCTCTCATGCGACCTTGCTGCAGGCAGGTGGCATCTGGCCATCGCGACCTTAGAGCAGCCCGTGGCAGCGAGGAAAAACAAGCCGAACGTCTCGAAAGGTTTGACGGGAGGACTTCTCTCAAGCAACACTCGCTGCATGCCTGGTTCCAGAGCTATGAGATGAAACGCATCCCCCGGAGTCCCGACCGGGAGCACTGGTAAGAACGGACAATAAGCCCCTGAGTGCCTCCTGCATTCTGACGGAGTTGTTGTCTTAGCCCTTCCACTTCCATTCCCTTTTGCAAATGACGGGACGCAGAGAATGGAGCAAGCCGCGACAGACCTTTACCTGCCCCAGGTCCAGCACCTGGAATCTAGAGTGATGCAATGAGACGAGGGATGAGTCCTAAGTAAGGCAGTGCTGCAACTGCACGGGGAGGCTGCGGAGCTACACAGACGCGATGCAATTCCGAGGTCCCACGCAGCGGCAAAGCGACGGAAGTGTTGCCGAGGGTGCCGCCGGAGATAGGTCTAGATGGCTCTGAAATAATTAGTAATGGACAAATGCCCGGAAGCATGTTTCTGGACCATTTACATCCAGTGCTTCCAAGCAGCCCGGATAGCTGCGGATCGACTCCACAAGTACCCGCATAGAATTTCCTCAATCGTATGGCAGAGAAACATGTGCATTGTCACGATAATGGTTGCACCCGAGAAGGTTGCTGTGTGCATTTGTTTGCGTACGATGAACTCTTTGTTGCGGATCTCATCCTAATCAGAAGTCGGCCAGGTATTGCTGACCAAGCGCAGGAACCCCGGACCCAAGCTGCTACTGCCCACATGGGGTAGTAATTGAAACTGGGGCCGCATAGGGCGAGGCGCAAGAGGAATTTCGAGTTAAGGGTTGCAAAATGAAAAACTGTCTCTATATTGATATTGGCGTTTATAGCAGGCCTTCTCAGAAGTGATGCGAGTCCTAGGCAGACCTTTGGCTCGAGCCCGTCTGAGCAGTACGTCACAAGGGTTCCTGGGCTGCTGGTTTTCTCGTTCCCCAGCTAGCGAACTGTGAGGACAAACATCCTTCGGTGCCCACGGTTTCATTTCTTCTGCCTAAGTAGGAAAGGGACTTTTGGCCGAGACAAAACACAGCAAAGAGCTCCAAAACTGTCGCACGGTTTCTCACACATGCAAGTCGCCGTGGCCGAAGCTTTTGCATGATTCGCTTTCTGGAGTCAAGGTCCCGAGACGCAGCGCAGGAAGCCACCGCGCCAAGACCCAAAGCGCCAAAGCTGAGAGAGCTATGCTTGGAGTTTGGACTTCTGATTTGATCATGAAGTGTGTTTTTTTGTAGACATCCGGCTTGACTTGATCGATCTACCGACCTCGATGAGCTCTTCACTGAGTCATTGGTTCTCGAAGTCTTGAAGTTTGCTGTGTGGCCGAAGGCAGAAGCAGCACTTGGTTTGCCCGCCAAGCCGCCGGAGCCTCGGAATCAGCTTTGGTTCTGCTTCGAAAGGTGCCAGTAGCACGGCACTTCGTGGCAGGTGGGAAGTGCATCCCAGACCCGAAGCTTGGCGGGTGACCTCCCGGTTTGCTGGGAGACGGGAGACGGGGAGCTGGATGTTTCAATGCCAGGTCGACGAGTAAGAGCAGTTCCATTCCCCAAGTCGTCCAAAGCTTTCGTGACTTCCTCATTCAGAAGGCAGGCTGCCAGGCTCGCAAAGCAGAAGGCTCCGGTCCTGGGTGCCTTCCAGGATCATGCGACGAAGCCACAGTTTGCCAAGACACTGCTCGCACCGGGCCCGCAGCTCAGCAGTTGTGCCGTGGTGCGATGGAAGGCTTGCAGATGGCTTGCAGCTGGTGCCGGCAACCAGGTGGTGACACGGGACAGCATGATGTTGCATGGGACTCGGCCTTTTTTCTGAAGTGCTGTTCGTTCTTGCACGTGGCCGTCCGGGTAAGGGCCTGGCTCTGAAGTCGATGGAGGAGAGCTGTTGTCTCAAGGATGGCGCTGAGAAGGTCAGAGGGATTCAGTCGGATTTTTTGGCCGCCCTCCGCATGTGGTGCTTGCCGTTATACAAGCGTACGAGGACATACTCGCCTCCTGGGCGAACAGTTTCTGGGACGAGCATGCTAGCTCCTTTGCGCCGGGGCCTTACACCATAGCTCACAGCCATGCGGTAATGATGGCCAACATGTATCGTTGACTACCACTACTCGAGAACCCAGGCTGGACCCACTGGATGGGGTTTCCTTGTTCCGGACCTCACGCGATGCCACCGAGCTAGCACAAGATGCGCCTGTGCCTCGGGGAAGCGCTTCATGTCGCCGAACTTTTTGACTTCCCGGCGAGTCCCGCTTGGGTGTCACATGGTGTCCTTGCCTTGCAGGGTCTGGGCGGTAAACGTATTTGGGGCCCTGGGGCCTGGAAGTCTCATCTGCGAGGCTCGCGCGAGCCAGTGCTCACTTAGGACCCAGCCCAGGCCCGGAGACGGGATGGGAATGCGAGAGCAGGCAAAATCGTAGTGGCAGATCACTACGTGTTCTTCGAGAGAAAGGTCCAGGATTTCGAAAGCCGCAGAGTTGTGCTCTGGCAATACTTCCTACAGTATGTACAGGGTTTCCAATGCTTGTTGGAACTTGTCTTTCGGAGGAATGCCAACATGATATGAGGCTCACACCGGCCGGTCTTGGCCGGTGTAGGTGGTTCTGAGGATGCAGGCGCTTCAGGCACCGCACTTGCTTTCCTCCACAAAAGCGAGCGAAGGGTCGTTCCAGGGTTGCCCAGCAATGGATCTGGATGGACCCATAGGACGTCAAGGTTTAAACCAACCCAACAGCATCGATGCGTCTACATTGTTTTTGCATTGCATCGGACACCGTGGCCTAGCACGAGTCTGTCAGGGCGCAGTTTGGCCGAGCAGCAAGCCTACTGTCCCTCGCTGAGAAGTGCAGCAGGGTGATTCGTCGTTATGCCCAGAGCAGCCGTCAAAATCTCATGTGAGCGGACCCGACCGATATATTTCGACTCTGGCGGCCGAGGCAGGTCCTTGATGCGTTCTCGGAACGAAAGCAGGCGCAGCCTTTTCGATTTATCTTGGTTGAGCTACAGCTTTCTCTGAACACCTGACAGATTTAAGCCTTTGGAGGCTCACTTCGCCAGCCTCATGCAGTGTAGGGGGAAGCGGTGCCGGCCTCATGTCTGGTAGCCAGCCCTCCCAGACCCAGCAACTCCAGCCCAATGGCTGTCGAAGACACTTGGATGCCCGTTTGACTTGACCAGAATCCCAAACTTGCAGTCTTGCAGGATACTGAAGGATTGTCTAGAGTCTAGATGTTTTGCTTGTTTCCTCTGGGCTCCTTCCAGAGGTGCTTCGGAGAGGGACGCCGTCGACATGCTGTGCCACCCTTTGAGATGTGGCGATGTCTTCTTCAGTCTCCATCGAAACAGGAAGAAGAGGAACACAAAACAAAAGCTAGTTTCCATAGGCTTTTCTCGAGAGGCAGCTCGTTCTTGGGTTCCTGTCAAAGCTGGACTGTCGCCAATCTTGAAGCTCAACAGCTGAGGGATGCGGAGACTCGACTCCGGCACCTCAAGCGCAGCTTCGCGGTCTCAGCCGATGAGGTGCAGTGTGCTTCATTGTGACTTCCTTGTGCAGAAGCTTCAGATCTTTCAGCCAACCTACACCCTGACTTTCGCAGGTGGCAGCGCGCTTAGAGGACTTGCGGAGGCAGATCCTGCACTTTGGGACCCCTAGGCCTTTTGTGGCGTGATAGATCGTGATTGTTTGAGAGTCTGAACCGTGTTGCATGCTCGACGCCTCAGCTCGTCCAGGATTTTCGGGGTTGGTCCCGCGAGATTCTGTGGTGTGGTTCGTCTTTCAGTGCTTGCTCTGTCCGATCCAGGCGGCCAGTCTGGGATGCTTATGCAGAGTTGACCCATGAGGCGCCGGGGCGAGCAATGCGAGCAATGGCTGCAAGGAAATTTGTCCTCTGGAGGTCGAAGAGAGCAGCTCCTCGCGGCCTCAGTGCGGAGCTCAGCCCGGCTGAGGGTCTCAAACTCTCTGCTCTCCGCTGGCACTTCTCAGGTCCTCGATGACCAATCAGTCCTGGACTGACGTGCCGGCGAAGCCTCGGCAGAGCCGTCGGAAGCGCCAGAACCTCAACTTCCTGAACAGGCTGCATATCGGCAAATCGTTTCAGCGAGATGGGTTTGTAGGGATATTTGCCAAGGTATGGTAGGCCCAAGGGGAGGGGCTAATAGGAAATACGCAACGATCGTCGTCCGTATTAAGGTCATTGCGGGGGCCTGCACAGCTCCAAACAACAACCAGTCAACCGTCCCACTGGGGTTTTGCATCTTGGAAGCGGGCCTAGCACGCTTTGAAGCCGCTTCGAACTGTCGATCTAGCTTCCACACATGTCCACACTACAGTTTGGCATTTGGGCACCGGTTTACAGGACATCAACTCGTTCCGGGTCGACATTGGCTTCATCGCATGTTTGGAATCTATGTCGAAGCCCAATCCTTATTTTTTGGCATCTGCTGACTGTCTCACGGATAACAAACTGCAGCGTCCATACTGCTGTTAAAGATGGTTGTGTACTTCCTGCACTGATGTGAATTTCCTTGAATCCGCATCCACCTGGGGCAGTCACTGGGATGATGTGTATCTCCACGCCCACCGGAAAGCCCAGTAGTGGGAATACGACGGTATTGGGAGGTTTTAGCGGTCAGCGGCAGCTTCAGCTTACATAGTCCACGACATGAGTCTAAGCTTCTGGCACGTGAGCATACAGCCCGAGGCACTGATTCTGACACCAGCAGCCATCAGACGCAGGCGTTGGACCTATCCGCCTAGCATTCATACCTGCAACTTTGGAGCTTGCAGTCAGCCGACATTTCACGGGAGCAGGTAGACCGAGAGCGCACGGGTTTCTGAAGTTTTGTTTAGAGTTTAGAAGCCTTCCGATTTCTGGACGACCACCGTGAACAAGACTTTCATGGTGTCGGCTGACTCAGTGTGCTTTCCGTCCAGTTTCGAAACGTCTGCAGACCTCACGTATTGCAATTTTGTGTCCTGCATGGCAGCATGCTGAATACTCTTGGGTCACCCATGACAGATCAGGACCTACGTCTTTCCCATGTGGAAATGCCCACGACAGCAGAGGAGGTGCGATTTCTCTGCCTGGGTCACGAGCCCAGTTGATCGTGTGTCCGTTCAGCTGCTCAGCCCCACACAGGGTAATTGGCTTGGGTGCTACCGGATCTTCATGCGATGGAAGAACTAAATTGCTCAGCAAAAATCACGGTATGTTTGAACCAGCCGAGTTTGAGACGCTTGGGGCTTGCTGACCCGCTGCTGTTGATATGTGGAAGTTGGCCCACCCACTCTCCCGAATCGGCTTGGCCGAGGTGCATCCTTGAACATGATGCCGTACAAGCGGCTGCAGCCTCTGGCCAGGCTCTGCAACCCTGAACCTCGTCTCGGTGACTCGTACTGACTCCTAAGTCCTAGGTCTGGTCGTACGCCTGGAAGTTTCACCATGATGTCAGCTGCTCATTGAAACGCGTCCTTTACCTTCCTGCACAGGTTAGAGGACGATGTTTACGACAATGGCCCCAACGACAGCTACGACGAGGTCTCACAGCGTGAGGCAGGGAAGGGATTGGAGGGCCTTACAAAGGTTATGCATGCATGCGTCTCGTCCTGGCATGGCACGCAGGAGCTGCTGCGAGCTGTCAAGAAACTTAACACATACAGATGGTCGCTTCCCCAACGTCGTAGCGAGCATCACATCACATGTGTTGCCCACTGTTGTTTTTCAGTTATGTGTTTCTGTGTGTGTGTGTGTGTGTTGGGAGTTCAATCCGTACTCGCAAAGACTTTGATGTGATCTGCTGTTGCGAAGACAAGGTTTTGTCGCTTGCCTCCAGTGGTGGTGGACGAGGTGGCAAGCTTGTTGATCTTTGTAATGTCGGTTGTGCTGCAAGCTGGCTTATGTCAAAATGTCGGCACGACCGGCCTCATCTTCAAAGTGTTGAAGACCAACAATGCTCTTGCAACCCTGTTGTCCAGGATGCTACTGAGCTGTGCGAGTTCCTGAACGAGAGCATGGTCTCCCGCAAGCCAGCAGATGCCTTATTGTAAGGTTGTGGAGTTGACGACAGAAGTTTTTGTGTAGCCCTGAACGACAAGGTCTTCGTAAAAGAGTCCCACAGTCTCACGCGGCGAGTGTCGGATCTCGGGGATCAGCTCGGAGGTGTCGCTTTGCCTGCCACCGGGGGAAGGGACTTGCATCGCCTGACTGGCACTCCCTCGCAGGCTTCATGGCGAATAGCGGCCACGCGATGATTTTGCACAAGGACCTGGCTCTTGCCTATCCTGGATGCTCTCGGTGGTCCATTGTGGCGCGGCAAGGCGGGTTCCCTCATCTCTGCCATCGATGTGGGCTTTGACCCCAGATCAACGATGCCAGTGGAGCCAGCCTGAACACTTTCGAGAGCCGAGGCATTCTGTGCAGCCATACGGCGGCTTGGGCATGTCGGACTTATGCCTAGTTCTAGATGAATTTCATCTTCCTTGGTGGCATCGCGACTGCGAGCAGCATCTGTTCTCACAAGGAGGTTCTGGGCAAGCTTTAGGGATTGGCGTCAGCAAACTATGCTAGCATAAACAGACAGAGAGAGATCCAGAAATCAAACAGTGATCGAACAACGTCAAAGCTCTGAAATGCTGTACATTAATTACAGTAGTTGGACGATACTTCAGCATGGCTCCTAGTCCCGATGAACTGGAGATTTCCATGTTCGGCGGCCAGAGTCGCTCCACGCTAGAGTTGCTCTATTGCTATTGCGTTTACAGTTCTTGTTACTGTTACTGTCACCCGTGCTGTCATATTTATCACGGTTTGTCTCGCACAGAAACAATGAACAAGTCCTGGTTGCTACGATGAGTACGATAAGTGTTGCTATGACTACGGCCAAGATGATGACGATGATGACAAAAATAATAATGGTTTTGATGATGATGATGATGATGACGACGGTGATGATGACTACTACTATTATTATGAACTTCCCACTACTGTGTTCCGATTATCGTTGTTATTGTGAAGTACGATTACTCTTAATTTTCCCTCACTCTTACTAATGCCTGTTGCCGTTATTGTTGCCGTCACTATGGAATACGCATGCTGCGACGGCCGGTACTAGTGCGGTCGCAACCCTGGCACCGTCTCTCTCTCCCCCGGCCGCCCCCCACCAAGAACACAAGATGCCCAAACGTCAACGTCCTGCAGTGCACTGGTTGGACAGCAGTAAGCTTTATACTTGTTTGAGTTTTTGATACTTGTTTGCTTTTGTTTAATCCGAAAGTTGGTAATCTTGAGTATACCCTCTAGGAGACATGCAACGTTATGGCATTTTGATTTCTTTATCCGTATCGACATGAGTCGACATTTGATTTGTCGTTGACCCCATCTTGATTCTTTTTGATCCGGGTGCGTGATACTCTGCATTCGAAGGAAGGCTGCAAATGTGAGACAGGAGCTGCGTTTACAATTATGTTTCGCAACTCTGTTGCAGCTGTGCAGGGAAGAGTCACGAAGCTACAGTAAGTTTCATGTTCTAGAGCAAGTTCTTACACCCAGAGAGCGAAAATGTGTTCGAAGTTGTCTCGAAACTTCTTGAGAGATCTTGGGTGGCACAGCCTCCTTGAGACTCTTTGCCAGGGTGGTTGGAGCTACTCAAGCAACGGCCCCGAGCTGCTCTCTATTGGTCTTGCTTTAAGTCGGTGGGGTTTAACTTGGATCAATCGCAAGGGAGGTCGAACCCCGCTATGTGAATCGACTTAATCGGCAAACTCTGTTTGGACGTGTGGTTAATGTAGTTTAGGCTTGCCTGAAGCTGCGGACAATTCAGATGGCAAGTATTCAGTGCAACCTCATGTTAACACGCCAACGCCTGCGCGTGCAGGAGTTGAACCGGGGGTAGGGACCCCTCCAATGCAAATCTTACATGTCGTGTCGTACCAGAGCGTGATATGCCGGAAGGCCGGTGTTCGAACCGCTGTGCTGCCCTAGCAAAGATGGAAACTAATCGCTCGTAAGCGTATCACTCACGGACGCCGAGTCAAAACATGTCTTGGATGCGTGCATGAGTTTCCGAAGAATGCAAAGGCTCTGGCAGCGCCAGTACACAGTCTTCTTGCCATTCAGGTGCCCCTGCTCCCGGCACAGCTTCCGAAGCTGCGGCCGCAGGACAGAGCCGCCAGGCCGAATTGGCACCCAGAGCTGTCAGATGACTGCCAGGCAACAGCTAGGACGAAAGGCAATATTTATTGCGTGGACAACACCCCACGACCACGAAAGTCTATGGCAATCTGCGCACTTGTGAGAGTTGAGCCCTCAGCAGCACATTCATAGAAAGGGACAAGTGGCAGCAGTGCAGATTACTGAACACATGCTGTAGGAGAAGCGTGGTCTATTTGTTCCTTCTCCCACGTGCAAGGGCTCGCAAGACGCCCCCAGGTGCCCAAGACGAAATACTATCTCGAGGGCAGCTCCACGGTCGAGGCATTGAGCAGCATTGATCTCCGACAGGTTTGAGGCTTTCAGGGCTGGCATGAGCGACCGAAAGCTGAAATGAAATGACCTGCATGGCAGTAGGAAGTCTCATGTGGAGCGCCCTTCGGGCAGAATATCCCTCGCTGAAGCCCTGACTGGGAATTTCGTGAGGTTGCAACACAGCCCGGGAGCGCCCAGAGCTGAGCTGCTCTTTGCCGCTATTTCATGCTTCTGCTCTGCGCTCCGCTGCAGCCAAGCGCAGCTCGCCATGTTTCCTTCCCGAAACCTGAGCTGTTCCCGCAAGACCTCGGAAATCTGGAAACCTTGGCAGAGACTCGTGTCAGGAGTTTCCTCTAGCCACAAGACTCCTGAAGCTCGGGCATCTGAGAGCTCAGAGAGTCAGGCCCGAAGCCTGGCCTTGCAGCGCCGCGCTCCTAGCATGGTGGCAGTTTGTCTCGCTTCAAAACCAACGGGGTGTAAAGAAACGCTGCAAGCGGATTCGCGTAGGCTTTTTGAGGGTCGGAGGGCCACTTGCGGAATCAACTTGTGCTCTCGATCGATGCAACTCAATATAGTGACCTATCACAAAAGACTCCAACAGACCTTGACCGAGGGATCGGGGCTTTTGAAAGCCATACAGCTGTTCCTGCACAGACGCATCGCACCACAGGTGGCCCCTGCAAGCTGCGACGGAAGTGCAACCAGTTTCCCTGCAGAATTTGCCAGACTCCCTGGCAGGCTTGCTGATTTGGAACTTGCTGCCCTGCTCCTTGCAGGGATCTAGTCTAGTACCAGCGGTTCTGTCGCTGGATTCCGTGATGGTAGGGTGGGATTTGCTTCGGACGAAACCCTCGACCAGGTTCACAAAATCTCTTTGCTGTGAGCAGACGCTTTCGAGTTCTTTGTTGGAATGCTCAATGCGTTTAGCGTGTCCTGAATGCCTGTGCTCCATTGGCCCCACAAGAGCTTACCGACGTGGGGAGCTCGATCAGTGATATCTGCAGGATACAGGACAATGTGGGAAATCTTGGATAAGCTGGGCGGCGGCACCAAGCAGGAGCTCTGGGGTGGGAACATATCGACGGTCTTTTGTCGTCTTGGCATGTTCAACGTCTTGGAACTGCCTTAAGATCTGCAGGACGCCCGTAACGCCCCGAGCAGAGCGAGCAGAGGCAAGAGCCTCCAGATGCCGAGGCCTCGGAATTCAGCAAGAATCTCATCTTGCCGAGAGCCGAAGCCACGCTAAGGGAGGCTGCATCTCCCAGTCCTAGCAGGCTCGGCTCATTTGCTCACAGCCGGCCATCGCACGTCGTGTCGCCCGCGCTCCCGTCTTTGCAGGCTCGGCTCTGCTGCCGGACCGACACGACCAGGCCAAGCGAAAGCCAAGGCATAAAAGGCAGAAGCAAATCCTTGAAAAATTGCGATTTTCTTTGCAGGTACCGGGGCCAGCAGCCTTTACTCAGGAAGGAGCACCCCTTTTCAGGACTCGGGTGCTCTTTCCTTTTGACATCTTGTTGGACGGAATAGGCCTTATGGTTTCATTGACTTTCTTGACACTAGCACCCCTCACACCACGACACAAACCCACACGCCTTGGAGGACAGGCGCCCAGGCACAGGCAGCAGCACACCTGGCAGACTCCGCACTGCCACGGCCTGAACCTCCTGGCCATAAGGTGGTAGGGGTTTGGGTTTAGGGTTTGAGTACATCAGGAATGCGCGGCTTTCTGGCTAATACTCTGTCTGAGGGTAGGTCCCAGGCAAAGCCAAGTCAACCCCAACCGCATTAAGTGCCAGAATAGCCGAACGTCACGCTGGGTTGGCCGGTGGCAAGCTGTGTGTCAGGGGTTGCACTACGCAACAGCCGAAATCAATCCAATGCGGGAGTCTGCAGAAAGGTGGAAAGTGCCCGGCTCCTCCGTAAGGGTCTTTCCTCAGGTCCTTGGGAGCGAAGAATGTTGGATGTTGGGAGCGGGAGTAGAGGTTGGCTGACGTGCCCCCTTTCAATATAACAGCTTCCCACCCCATTGCTTGCCGTTTGGGGGGGAGCCAATTAGAGTGCCTGTGTGCATGTCAAGAAACATGCAGCAAATTCGTTTTGTGTACTCCATCCGTCCACACCCAGAGATGAGATGGTCCAGAGGTCTTCTGGGGCTCCAACGAGACTGCCCGCCGCCGCGAGTGGGGCCGTGCTAGCAACCTGTGCTGCCCTCGAAGTCCCCAAGCGAGTGCCAGCAGCTTGTCACCGCAATAGGATTCTGTAGACCGAAAGCCAGAACTAGGAACTTGCTGGAGCTATGGGAGTGGGCATTGCAATTGTGTTGTCACCACTGATTCCGGCATGTGGGGGCTGACATCTGTCAAGGTCTTGGGGTGACAGGCTGGGAGCAATTGCACATGACACACTTTGGCAACTTTGAGACCTGCGCGGTGTACTGTGCGGAGGCTAGACAGGAAATTCGAGTGTTTGGACTTCGATTGGCATCTCTGGCTGACATCTGCTAGCAGTTTCTCTTTCATTTAGCATCTGATGGGGTGCTCGGATGCACAACATAAGCCATGGTCCTGGCGCAGATGGCCTGAGCGTAGAAGCTCTTTGGCTAGCCCCCTTTGACCAGATTGACGTTGAGCTGCAGCGGGCCTGCAATATACTTGTATCAGGAAATGAGCCCACGCCCGAAGGTCTGCGGGAGGAGGCAAAGCGGCTTTGCAGCTTGCGAGGGAGTTGCAAGGACTGCAAGGACCGCAAGGAGTTGGTGCAAGCTTGGTCCCTGCTTCTGTCGCGAGCGCAGGCAGAAGCTCTGGATCGAGCCGGAATCCCACATCCGGCAATCCTGATTCCTATAACCGACGAGCAGCGCAACTTCTGGCATCACTTCGCTGCAGGAGTTGAGTTCTTGCCCGGGGACGATCTCGAGGAAGACGTACTTGTGGCCATATCCGAGGAATGGACAGCGGTTGCCACGATTGGGGAAGCCCTTCGTGCATGGCTTTCTTTGAAGGCATCCGAAGTGGGTGCACAAGATCCTCCTCTGCCGAAAAGATCGATTACTATCTACATCCTCGGGCCTAGCCCATCCTTGGAGTATGAGAGGGGGTTGAAAGACCTTCATCACAAGCTCCTTGCGTGTCTCTTAGGCCTGGAGGGGCCTTCAAGCTCCCCGCCTTTCTTGCATCTTGTATTCTGCGGTCCTGACGTGCCAAGCACAATACATGCACAAGCCTGGAAGGACGGACGTCTGCATGTCGAACACTGGAAACGCCACTGGCATGACCTGCAGAAGGAGAATTTGCAGTCCGTGGATCTCATCGTCGCGATGAATGCCGGCACCTCCGTCGCACCATATCGGAAGCTTTGGCTTCCAACCCTGATGGCCATTGCAAAACTGGAAGACTGTCTGCTGTGGTTTACTGGATATACATTGCCCGAAGTTGCAGAGACACAGAAGGATGTCAACGAAAGCTGTCCACAGGCGGTTGTGCTTCATTGTGATGCCGGACGGAGCTCGACACTGGCAGGAACTGACCGAGTGGAGCTAGGTGTGACTCCCTGCTCGTATCCGGGAAAGGCAAACTATTCTGTGTATGCAGCTTGGCTACCAGGCCGGGGTACTTTGTACTTTGTAGTGCTAGGTGGAATGCGGCTTCGATCCTGGGTCCGAGACTTTCATTCGCTGCAGTTTGAAACTACGTTTGTCGGAGTGGCTCATTGCATGCTGCATGCACATACTTGCCCTATGAAGTTTTGCAGGACAGTCCAGCGGCTCGGGCATGCACTTGGAATGTTGGAGAGATGGCCAAGACGCATCCTGGCCTGTCCTGTGATTGCAGGATGTCGGCTGCTGGACCGCTGGCAACTTGCAACTTGAAGGAGCAGTCATGACTCTCCACAGGCTGGCCACAAGAACGAGAAAGAGCGAAGATCAAAAGAGATGATGTCATGCGCTTTGTGCCATGCAGCCGTTTGGCGTCGGCGTGGCCATGTAGGAGGCTTACCACCGGGACGGAATTCTGCCACAGTTCCCTCAAGCCAACAGATCAACAGCTGGCGGCGCGACCCCGTTTCTGTACTCACTGGCCAACACGACCAGTCGCTAGCCACTCATACAGTCGCACAACTATCGAAAAGGAGGCTTGCAACAGCTTGCACAAGCTCGCCCTGTGAGGGCATCGGGCCACTAAGCCTTTGCAGGACAAACACAGTGACTCTGCGGCGACAGCTTCTCAGTCCACGGCTGTCTGTGCCCCAGCCCTGCAGAAATTGGAGGCTTACAGGGCTTTCAGAGGCTTCTGAGGGCGACAAATGGTCTTATTCATACTCGCGCGAATGCATTGCTGGGGCTCCAGGGGTGCAATCAGTTCTTCAGCAACAGCCGCAATTCCTCAGGCAGATCTTTGGCGCCTCTCGTTTGCGAGAGACATGCGTCATCTGGCCACCACCTCAGATGCCTGTGGTTTCTCTTTATGGTTCAGGAAGAGGAAGCGCAATCACCAAACATGTATGCTCTTGGGCTGTATGAGTTTGTTTAAGAGTTTATGGATACTCATGGTAAAACGGCAAGCAATGCATGCGTGACCACGCGACCATCTAACGACTTGAAGAACTCTCGAGGGCAACTCGCAAACAAATCGACTGGGATATCCTGTGACCAGAATGACACAAGCCCAGCAATTTCCGCGACAAGGGATTCTGCTACTATGCAAGTACCAGTGCTATGCAAATAATCCTTTTGTCATGTACACAGCTCACCATTCCCTCATCCTGCAGGACCACCCCTGGCTCAGGAGAAACTGCGGAAGATGAGGATCAGCGTAGTAGAGCCATCAACAGTTCCAGAAGGTTGGCCTCGTGATGTGATCTTTGCGCGCCAGCACTCTAGAACAGGGAATCTCGGATGACATTCATGCAAGAAGGAGGAGTGGGCCAAACGCGATGAGACAGACTTCGTTGTCTTCCCACCGTATGGAGCCGCAGTCTTAGAGCAGGACTCTCCCTGTCTCTGCGTTACGCTCCAGGCCACACTTCGTCGAGACAAAGCTCGCAACTCTCCCAAGGGTCCAGTCCGAGCCGTCCGAGGTGTGTCCCTTGGAGCTCCTGGGCGGACATGCGCTCCCCACTTGGACCATCATGCCAAACAGCCCAAGTCTCAGTCGATCTTCGGGTACGCCTGGTGGCCAGAGTTCTCGCCCCAACATGTTTTTGATTTCCGTCAGAAGTCTGTCTTTTGAGCGGGGGAGGAGAGCCACAGCACACCGGCGTTGCTAGCCAGCAGGTAACGAGAAGCTTCCCGCACCATCTCCAAATGACTCTCCTCGCCTCTGAAGGTCATCGCTTCCAACCAACGCATGCCTTGCAGGCGCCGGCAAAGCGAAGTTCTGAACCCTAGTTAACTCGTTCCTGCCTGGCGTGCAACCGGGAAGGTACGGATGTGGCGAGTCAAGCTTCTTCGCAGAGAGGAGGACATAGGCTGTCTGTGGAGCAGCATGCCGTTGAGTCAGCTGGGCCATTCCCCGGATTCTCTGAAGTATTGAATCCGGTCTTGTTCAGGGTTTATGTGCTCTCGGGTGAAGTTGGCAGGCTTATTCCGCTTCATGCCCTGCACGATCCACCCTGCAATCATGTGGCATGTAGCTGTGTAAGTGTAGCCTCTGTGTTTTGATGTGCTTGCACGGACTTTCCATGTCTTTGACTGTGGCTAACTCCGGCTTCGGGGAAGGCTTGCTCTGAGTTTTTGAAAACTGCTACCAGAATTTGTTAAAGACTTCCAAGAGATTAGGATTAAGACTGAAGAGACTCTTTAATGACCTTTGTAGCTCATGAAGCTTTTTGATCAAACAGGCTAAAGCAGCGTGTGTTTCGAAGGACTCCCCAAAGAAACCTCTTCACAACGATAGACCTGGACTAGCTTCGTCTGCGAGTCAAGGAATGCATCGTAGATAGAGATCAACGGTTCGGCCGGATCAACTTTGGTACTGTTCGTTTGTGAAGCACATCATCAAGCGGATCGAGAGCACTTTTCGACGAAATTTGCATGCCGACAGCATTGACAGTGCAGCCGCTTGGCAGCAGGCGGCAGCGAGGAGTTTTCGCACGACCGCACCAAGTCGGCAAGCAAATGGCTGGGACCCCGGAAAACCCAAGTTGGTCTGCAGATAGGTCTCATGCCATGATTGAGCGCGGAAACTTGGAAGCTTTCGACCGCTGGAAGTGTGTGGCGGGTTCCCGTTTTTCGATGATTGTTGCGTGTTCCTACAAGTACATGTGACCGCAATCACTCGCTACGTGTGCGCGATCTACGCGGATTCTCGGCTGGGTAAGTTTTGCTTGTGGTTTCTCGCGTGCGACTGCGACGCCACAGTTCTGACATGTTCTGACCCACTCATAGATGCATTGCTTGTGTCATTTCCTGTCTACGAGCAGCAGCAGCAGGAGTAGTGGTGGTGATTGTGGTAGCGGTCGTAGACGTAGTCGTAGTCGTAGTAATTCGTAGTAGTAGCAGAAGTAGTAGTAGTAGTAGTAGTAGTAGTTGTTGTTGTTGTTGTTGTTGTTGTTGTTGTAGTTGTAGTAGTTGTTGTAGTTGTTGTAGTTGTTGTAGTTGTAGTTGTAGTTGTAGTTGTAGTTGTAGTTGTAGTTGTTGTTGTTGCGGTAGTGGTAGTGGTAGTGGTAGTCGTGGTGGTGGTGGTGGTGGTGGTAGTGGTAGTGGTAGT